GAGCCTTGAAAGCTGGGGCACTGGTGACATGGCTTCTCCTCTTCCACCTCTGTGTTGCATGCAGCTGGGACTCAGCCTGTGATGGGCAGAAAGCTGCAGTCTTTTCTGCCTCTGGAGGTTGGAGTAAGATAACAGGGACCCTGTTTGTGAGGACTGTCATCTGTCTAAAGGTTCTCTTTACATCCCAGAAGGACCCAAGCCTGTGAAATAAGCTTGGCCAGAGTTTAGAATTCAGTGTGTGACCAAATTTAACTTTTGTTCCTTCTAGGCTAGTGGAACCAGACCTTTGGTTCATGACCCAGACTTTCTTCTCTGACAATAGAGCCTGTCCTTGGAGTCCAAGTGAATAAATACCGGGTCTTTTTCTTGCTAACTATGTGAGCTTGCGGACATTTACACAACCAGTCTGAATCCCCGGAGTCTCGCCTGCATACCGACCATAACAGTACTTGCCTCATACCAGTGGTTCTGAGGCTTGAAGTAGATGAGTTGGACAGAATGCTCAGCACAGAGTGACTACTTTAATATTTGCCATTATCAGGACCCAGTTATCACCCAGAAAGGGGCACTGAAAATCAGAATAAGGCTCCCCATAGGGCCTTTCTCTGCCTATTATGTGGCTGGAGTTGTCAGGGTGGTTGACAGAGAACTGGCATGTCCTATTTCCCTGGGTGTTGGGTGGTGTAGGTAGCTGAAACTGATGAGATTTTAATTCAGAGATGTTATTCAGAAAGATAACTTTGACATACGCTGCAACATGGACGCACATTGAGGATGCTGTGCTGACTGAAATAAGCCAGATACAAAAGACAAAGATTGCATAGCTTCCAGTACAGTAGGTATTAAGAATATTCAGATTTACAGAAACAGAAGGGTGGATGCCAAGGGCTGGGGATGGAGTTACTCCTGAGGCTTGATTGAACAACACCGAATGCATGTGTTGTAACTAGACTGAACTGTGCATCCAAAAGTAGTTCAAAGAAGTGGACTGGGGAGATGGTTTATTCAGTAAAGTACTGGCTGTATCAGTCTGAGGATCAGAGTTCATATCCCCAGCACCCATGTAAAAATCCCAGCATGGTGACACGTCGATATCTAGATCTCACTGGTCTACCAGCCAGACTAACTGATTTGACAAGCTCCAGGTTCAGTTGAGAGACCTTGACTCAAAGAATTAAGTGGAGAGCAATTGAGAAAGACACCCACTATCAACCTCTAGTCTACACATGCATGCACATTTGTGAACACACCTGCACAAACATGCATACATGTATACCACACACATAGGCACATACCCAAATAGTTAAAAGGTAAATTTTCTATGTGTTTCTTACTGTAATTTGAAAATAAGCTCAAACAGCATCTATTAAGCATATACCAAGGGTCAGATGTCACTCTAGGCACAAAGAAGCCAATAAAAGCATGATGGTTAGTACTGACTATCAACTCTTCACTGAGGAGTCCGGCCCCCAGGTATACCCGTGAGGGATAATTGGATTAAGGTTAGCACTGAGAATGTCTGTGAAAGATTGTGTTGATTAAGTTAATTGATGTGGGAAGATCCATCTTAATTGTGGGCAGGACCATGCCCTGAGTAGGATATCCTGGACTGTATGAAGTGGAGAGCAAGCTGAGCATTAATTTATAGCCCTCTGTTCTTGACTGTGGGTGTGATGTGACTAGTTCTCTCACGCTCCTGTGGCTGTGGCTTCCCTGCCATGATGGACCGTAACATGGAATTGTGACATAAACACACTCTGCCTTAAGTTGCTTTTTTTCCAAGATATTTTTATCACAGCCACAGAAAAGAAACTAAGACCATAAATAAAAATGAACCAGGCCTCCGCCCCATCTCCCTTGGTAGAGAGACATGAAATTAATAGGAGAATCACAGTATATGGCAGAGTGTCTCTGGGAAAAGGACTACAAAGAGAAGTTCATGACACCTGGAGGACTGAACTTGACCTGGTCAGGAAGCCCAGGCAAGCCAAGAATAAGGACAAGCAATAGGGTAGATGGCCAGGAAGAAGAAAGAGCTTGTGTGAAGGGCAGGCCAGTGTGGCTGGAGAACAGAGGCTGGAAGAAGGCATGCTGTGTGCAAAGGATGGCAAGGGCAGCAGGATCCAGACACCAGGCCTTCTTGCCTACCTTTGTAGGCAAGCCTTTCTTCTTGGGAGAAAGGAAAGTCATCAAGGGCTTGATGGAGAGACAGAAGATCTGCTTTGTATTTTGACAAAAATCAATCTGAAGGAATATCTGCTTTAATCAGAAGAATCTTATCACATACTTAGAGTTTTATCTCAAGTGGGCCTTTGCAACAGGCCCTACCTCCTAATTGTCCTATCAAGAGCATACAGAAAGGCCCACACACCATAAGTTCAAATAGTTACAAATTATAATCAAGTTCATAACTATTACATTTTCTAACCTCCTAACCTCGAAAACATCTCTATAAATAAGATGTCAAAAAAGATGTGTACAACTATGGTGTTTATATGACTAAGAGTCAACAAAGTACCAGAGATGATGGAACTTGATGATAATTGTATAGTTTGGGTATTCTGTTGGGTCACCAGAAAGTGAATAAATATAGACAATCATAATTAATAAATCATTTCATGATATGCAATTTGTGGCCCTCATTGTAGCAGAATCTTTGATTATGTTGTTCTAATTGAGATTTTTTTCACATAACATGTTCTTTACATATACTATTCGATAAATTTTCTCTTTTTGTAACAACTTATGAAAATGTAATTTTCACTTTATAAAGTGCATTTATTTAAAGGATACAGCTTGAGCCATTTTAGTCCTGAGATAGTTTCTCCCTCATTTCAACTTGAAACTTTATTTTTTTCTTATGATATTTTAATTGATTTTTTTTTGTATATCTCATATAGAACTTCCCAAACAATCTTATTCATCTTTATACCCACATCCTAAATGGCACTCTCCCTCCCTCCCCCTGCCCTCACCACTGGAGCCCATATACTCTGTCATCCCTGTTACTGCCCACTGTATTGTCAGTGCCCCCAGCCGTTTCCCAGTGCAAGCCCATCTGCTGAGTCTAGCCAGCCTATCTAGTGTCCCTTGGTTTAGGAAGATCAGCTCTTCTTCATCTAGCAGCAATTAATTGCCAACATTCCTTTAGCTAAGATTGGGTCTGCTGTTCATTTTCCCAGTTCTATGTTGGGTTACTGTCTGCCTGAGTTTACCTGGGACTTGTGTATGCTATATGTGTCATATGAGCAGGCTCCTAGGAGCTTGTAGATCTCTGTTTCCATATGGTCATGTCCATCCTCTCTGGCTCTTAAGTCTCTCCACTCCCTCTTCCGTGATGGTCCCTGAGCCTTGGGTGGATGAAGTTTATTAAAGGGTCCTGTCCAAGATCATTATTTAGCAGGCCCTTGATCTCTACACTTTGGCCATTTGTGACCTTTTGTGTTCCTGGCCCTCCTCTGCATGAGGAGCTTCATTATAGGAACTAATTCCTTAGTGTCCTCTTCTTTATCCCTGGTCTATGTTCCAGGAGCCTTAGGTGTACAGGTTGCATTGCAGATGTGGCCCTTAGGCCTGGGCAGTTCATAGACAATGTCTGTGTGTGACCAGTTGTGGTACTTGGTATTAGTCTCCGATTGCTGCAAATGATCTTCTTTGATGAGTGGTGACTGGGATATTTGTCCAGGAAAGATGCTGGCCTCAGGAAGTTGGGGGTTGGACCAGTCAGGGATGAAGGCTGGTCTCAGGTGTGCAAAGGCAAGGTGGGGAAGGGAACAGGCTTTGAGGACTCCAGGGGACTAGACTGAGGAATTGGATTGGTCTGGCTGCAAAGGATCAGGAAGCAGTGGGGAGTCTGGGCCAAGAGGGTAGTCCAGAGGTCTGGGGTGCCAAGAGAAGAAATGGGCCGGTGCCCACTCTAGGAGGAGAGACAGGTGGTGTAGCGGGGAGGGTGAATGAGGTTGTGGGAGTCAAGACCTCAACCTGAAACTTTATTAACAACTGAACTGTTAATAAAATTATGAAAGAAATACTTAGCTTTGGAAATGAACCGTGAATAGAACATACTCTCAATGCATGGCAATGAAATCTTATATAATTGATCATATTTATCATAAAAATACTGGAAGATATTTAAATTGAATTGTATAAATATATTAAATTTATTTATTTATTTTTATTTTATGTGTACGAGTGTTTTGCCTGCATGTATGTGAGTGCATCTGTGCAATGCCCGTGTAGGTTAAAAGAGGGCTTAAATCGCAGAAGATTGTTAGCCACCATGTGGGTTCTGGGAACTGAGCCTAGGTCCTCCGAAAGAGCAGCCAGTGCTCTTACCTGCTGAGCTGTCTCTCCATCCCCTAAATCTCTGGATTTTCATTGCCTTTTTGAGCAGAATCTCAGTCTGACAAAAATGTGGAGTGTTGGCATTGTAGTTTCTGTATGCCATGTCTAAATGTCTTCGCACATTTAAGAGCAATAGGAATAGTTTGATGAAGTATATTTCTTAATACAGTGGGCTAGTGTTGTGAGTTTTGGAGATCTTCTGAACTACAGATTGGAACATGAACAACAACAATCATGTCAACACGTGGTACAAATGAGAACGATGCTTCATTTGTGCGAGGGTCAAGCACATGCATGCACCTGAAAGTCAGGAACTGGCGCGTGAATCAGCCTTCTCTTCTTCTAGTGCCTCTGCTTCTCAAACCCTTCCAGGCTGAAGCAGCTCCGTCCCTGCCAGTGTCAGTATGAGCATAAGCAAAGCCATCATATGTTGGAAGTTCAGACACAGGTGGCTGCTGTTTCAAGGACTCAGGCCAAGGAAGATGGGGAGCCATTTCCTGGGGTCAGGATGACACTACCTAACACCATATAAGCATCTGTTCTCTTCCCAAATCCATCCCACCAATCTGTCACTGTGATATGCACTACTGTGGCCTGGTCTTCCTTTTGGAGTCTGCTGACTCTGATCTGCATTTTTTTTTTTTTTTTTTTTTTTGGAACTGGTGAAAGCGGGAAAAGCACCTTTATCAAGCAAATGAGAATAATCCATGGGTCTGGCTACAGTGATGAAGATAGAAAGGGGTTCACGAAGCTGGTTTACCAAAACATATTCACCGCCATGCAAGCCATGATCAGAGCAATGGACACCTTAAGGATACAGTACATGTGCGAGCAGAATGAGGTAACATGCTTGACTCTGTCTGTGAATGCATGCCTTCCTACTTGGGTCAGTGAAAGTCTTTGAAAGGATTTGCTAAGTCCTTTGGGCAGATGCCAAAGTATTTTGAACTCCTACTCAGTAGAGGAAGAAATCCTTGAGAGGAGCAGAAGCGATTCAGTTAGCCCTGTGGTCTTATTTCTGCAGGAAAATTTCTGCAGGAAATGAGGTTGTGATGCTGCACAGCGTGCAGGCATTAAGAAATTTAGGGAGTTATCAAGGTTGCTCATCTTAGGGACCAGAAAAGAAAGGCATGGCCATTTTCCCCTTAAGCTGAGAGACCCAGTTAATTGCTTCAGTGGGAAAATAGAGATGTGGGCTTCAGTAGCCAGCTTTTCAAGAATTCTTTGTCACGGGAAATATTTTCACTAATGTACTGCAGACTACTCGGAGAATTGGTGAATTTGTTTGTGTTGGGAGCTGACCCTTCTTGGGAACTAAATGACATTTTCTGAGAGCGGTGCTGCTGTTTCAGGCAGCAAAGTGCTCTCATGATGTGGGCGTGTCAAACTGGTATTTGCTTTCTGGTCCCACTGGTCATTCATGAGGAAAATATCTTAAAGATGAGGGGGGAACAGGATGAAGAGGGTGGGAGACAGCAAATAAAATTTCATATGCTATATTGAAGTGTGTCAGAATTGATTTTGAATCTAGATTAGAAATAAGACCTTAGCCAGGCATGGTGGTAGATGTTTGTGGTTCTAGCACCCAGGAGGCAGCAACAGAAAGATCATGAGCTTGAGGCCAGCCTGGGCTACATATTAACACCTTGACTTTAAAAATTGAAGAAAAGGGCTGGAGAGATGGCTCGGCGGTTTAAGACCACTGGCTGCTTCCTCTTAACCAGAAGACCTGAGTTTGGTTCTTAGCACCTACATGGTGGCTCACAACTGCCTGTATACACATGGTGCACATATATACATATAAAATAAATTTAATAAATTTTTTTAAGGGAAAAGAGAAGAATAAAGTTTTCATTTAAAATAATCAGTACAGGCTGGAAAAGTACTGACTGTTCTTAGAGAGGACCCAGGTTTGAATCCCCGCACCCACATGGTGGCTAACAACTGTCTATAACTCCAGTTCCAGGGAATCCAATGCCATCTTCTGACTTCTGCAGGCATTGTACAACACAGGCACACTTACATATAGGTGGGCAATGTATTCATACACATAAAATAAAAAATAAATAAAATATTGAAAAAAAAAATAATCCTTGTGATGTGGCATGATGATTTAAAAAATCTGTCAGTTGAGTCATCAGTATATTTAAAGAGAATTCTGCTGTTAACATGGCAGAATTTCGTCGGTTTTGGCATGGATGGCCTTCTCAGGGACTTGTGGCACCTGTGCTCCTGTGTATTTCCTATATATGACAGAGGAAGTTTCAAAGCAACTAAACAGTTTACGTTTTTATTTCTTAAGGGTTCATCGTATAAAAGAACACAGAATGTATGTTATCTCTGCAGCTCACTTCCTTTTTTTTTTAGAATTTTTTTTTATACACCCACTTCCCAGGTAGCACCCTCCCATAGCCTCCCTCCCCCCACCAGAGCCCCCATACTCTGATATCCCTGTTACTGTCTGCTGTGTTGTCGGCACCCCCAGCCATTCCCCACTACTTGTCCATCTGGTGAATCTAGTCAGCCTATCTAGAGGTCTTTGTTTTTGGAAGGTCAGCTCTTCCTCATCCAGCAGTAATCAGTTGTCAATATTCCTTTGGATAAGATTGGGGCCTACTGTTCAATTTCCCAGTCTATGCTGGGAATCCCTTTGGCTACCCTGGCCAACAACTCAAAAGAAGGTCAACACAGAGGAATTATTTCCTCCATGCTTCCAAGCGAAGCCAACCATGGTTGAGCAGGACCTTTGACTTATCTTTACATAGGTGGAACTGGTAAAAGAAAGGAGCCAGGGTCTCCTCCCAAGCCCATGTGACCCCTGAGAAACAGATCCTCAAACGACCTTAAGAGTAAAAATAAATCGGTTTATCTGGACCAACTGTATGGCCTTAAACACCCAAAAGGAAAGTATAACCAAAGATTAAAGGGACCAATATAATTTCACTTCTTTTTTAAAAGATTTTTTTCAGGGCTGGAGAGATGACTCAGCAGTTAAGAGCATTGGTTGCTCCTGCAGAAGGCCCGGGTTCAGTCCCCAGTACCCACACATGGCTAACAACTATCTGTAACTCTAGTTCCAGGGGATCTGACACCCTCTTCTGATGCCCTCTTCTGACCCCTATGGGCACTGCACAACAGGTACACTTACATACATGCATGCAGTACACTCATACACATAAAATAAAATCAAAATAACAAATAAAAGATTTTAAAAGTTTTTCTTTTTCAAATTAAATTTATTTTTTTATATTTTGTATGTATGAGTGTTCTGCCTCCATGTATGTAAGTGCATCACACACATGCAGTGCCCACAGAGGTCAAAAGAGGGCTTTGGATCCCCTGGAACTGGAGTTACAGATGGTTGTTAGCTGCTGTGTGGGTGCTGAGAATAGAATCCAGATCCTCAGCAAAACAGCTAGTGCTTTTAACTGCTGAGCCACTGCTCCAGTCCCTGTAGCTCCCTTCACTGTCATTTCCTAGCAGTTGCAAAGCCATTTGAAGGACCGTGTCTTGTCTTAGTTTCAAATTTCTGCAGTCATGCTGAAGGGTGTGGGGTGAATTAAAACATAGTTATGTGAAAGCTACAACTTAACCATTGGGAGGTTGTAGCAGTGATGGCGATGATGTGAACATCCAGTGCTTTTTAGTGCGTCTCTTTGAAAGTATATTGCTATTCACCCTATGTAACATGTCCTAAAACCAGGTTTCCTGTGGAGAAGCATGGTGGGAATGACCTGGTGATTTCTGTTTTCTCATGCTGTAGACTATAGTTTATTTACTGATTATAGTTGAGTGGCTGGATGAATCTTGGAATTCAGGGATGGGTTTATAAACAGAACTATTAGAAGAAAAGGCTCAAGTGTAAACCGGTTCTGCTTACCTTGGCAGCGTGTGTTTGTGAAACTTAATCAGATTTAGTAGCCAGGGCCTCTTAGTTTCTGTTTTTGTTTTGTTTTCCTTCATGGTCTGGAGGTTCTCTGAGTTTATGCTTTAAACAAGGGATTTTATGGGGTTTTATGTTCTATCACTTTCTCCTTTTCTCTTGGTCTCAGTTCTTTTCCATAGACTGTCCCTGGTTACCCGCTCACCTGTATTCATTTCCTAGGATTGCACTGACCAAGTACCTCAGTCCAAGTACCTTAAAACAAGATTATTTGCTCACAGTTCTAGATGGTAGAAGTCCAAAGTCAAGGTTGTTTGTTGCTGGCTGGAAGTGCTGGGGGGAAACCCATTTCCAGCTTCTCACCCGGACTCTGACTGCTACAAATTCTTGGCGTGTATTGACTTGTCCATGTGTCACTCCAGTTTCTGTGTCAGTCTGCACATAGTGCCCACATGTGTCTCTGTGCTCACATAGTTGTGTTTGCTCTGTGTCCAAATTTGTCCCCTCTTATAAGGCTGCCACTAATCAAGGGTGACCTCATCTCAGCTTGGTCACCTCTAAAAGACCCAGTTTCCTAATAGCATTGCATTCCGGAGTTCCTGATGGGCATGAATTTCAGTGGCAACACTGTTCAGCCCAGTACAATCTTTCCTCTGGTAGATTCATGTCTATAGTATATACAAAGTATGCCCATTTCATCCCAAAGTATGCCCAAAGTATCCCTGAAAGTCCTAACCCACTCCAACATCAACCAAATCTAATTCAAGTAGTATCACACACACACACACACACACACACACACACACACACACACACAATCTAAAGTCCATTTTCTGAACCAGGAATGAAGGAGACTTTACATGTGATCCACATTGGGCGCTTTGGAAGGCACCTCTTTTGTTCATGCTGGCCTGTACAGCTATAGAGCTTGTGTTGTGGGCGTTAAGCAGATGAAGACGTTTTTAAAAAGTGGTGGCTGGCATGGGATGGGTCTTCTCTACTTGTGGCCTGTGAAATGGGGAAACAGGTGACCTGCACTTCCTGTCTGTTCTGCACTGGCAGTATCTGACTCCATTCACAATGCCTTTGTCCCTTCCACTTAAGTATCTAGATTCCTGTTCTATAATCGCTTTCTTAAAAAATTTTTATTTATTATTTTTATTTTATGTTTATGAGTATATTGCTTGCATGTATGTAAGTGCACCCATGCCATGCAATGCCCATGGAGGTCAGAAGAGAGCTTCAGATTCCCCTGGAACTAGAGTTTCGGATAGTTGCTAGCCATTATGTGGGTGCTGGGAATTGAACCCCAGTCCTCTGCAAGAGCAGCCAGTGCTCTTAACCACTGAGCCATCTCTCCAGTCTCTGTAATCTCTTTGTTATCCTTTAAACAGATGACTGAAATGGACCACATGCTAGAATAGTTAAAGAGAGGCAGAAATTGAGTACAAAGAACAGATTGGTTCTTTAAAAATCTGGGCTTTTTGCATTGTATGGGTCTAGGACAGGAATCAACAAACATATAGATGACCAAGAGATTAAATGTTTTTGGCTTTGGAGGCTAACAGTCTCTGTTGCAACCACTAAGCTTTGTGTTTGTACCAAAGACAGCAACCACAGGCATACCAGCAAGTAAACAGTTGAGTATGACTCACTTGTAAACTTTATTTACAAAATAGAAAATGATTTCTAACTCTGTAGCATATAAAAATCCACTAAGGATTTGGTCCATGGGCTGAGGACTAAGACCCTTGTCCTGGGGGCGGGGGGGGGGGGTCTGTCATCCATTCTTTCATCTTTTTGTCTGCTTAATGCCCACAACATATGCTCTGTCAGCTGTGTGAGCCAGCATGAGTAAAAGAAGTGCTTTCCAAATTAAATGTGTGTAAGAGGTATAAGGCTATTATTACTGGGCAAGTTCAAAAGCCAGAAATGATCTTGTTTCTTCTATTACTTCT